CTCTTAATACCATCAAACAAAAAAAATGTAAAAATCCTGGAAAACTAAATAAAAAAAATTCTTTGTCATATTAAACGAAAGATGTTTAAAAGAAAGTTTGATGCCCAAACATATATATATATATATATATATATATAAAGAACAGTAAGATATATAATCCGGTGTTCTTATAGATATTTTTATTTTGGCAAAATAGTGGTCAATGTAAATTTATATCTTTAATATATACAGTGTAACCCGGATATAAGAGAATTGTCGGGACCGGAAAAGAAGTATCTTATATCCGGGTTTCTCTTATATCCGGGTTTCTCTTATATCCGGGTTTGGTCTATTTTATATACATTAACACAGGCTCTAATTTAGGACCAGAGAAAATCTCTCTTATATCCGGGTTTCTCTTATATCCGGGTCTCTTATATCCAGGTTACTGTATATATATATATATATATATATATATATATATATATATATATATGTATTAATGGCTGTTTTTTCGCATCCATCTCCTTGGAAAAGAAAGCGGGCCACATCCTCAGGAGTATTTTGTAATAAGTCATGCTTGATTAAATATTCAATACCCTACAAAAAAGAATTTATATGAGATATTGCTTTCCTCTAGCATATATATATTGCCACAGCTATATTTAAATTCAAAACCAATTGAACTATTTTTGCAAATATGTGAGGGATCACCAGAAAAACTTTATCTCTCCACCACCTTTGTTCCTGATTATCCCACACTGTTACAATATAAGCCTAGTCCGATGAAATCCTAATGGATGAAACGCTTCACAAAAAAACTTTCCATATATATATATATATATATATATATATATATATATATATATATGGAGATACTACTTTGTGGTTCACTGTCTCCGCCATTGTATTGTCGCTATGTTGATGATACATTTTGTTTATACGATAATAAAACTGAGGCGGATCCATTTCTCTCCTCTCTCGATAGTCTTCATTCAGTTCTGAGGTTTACTCTTGAGAAAATGTCTAATTCTCAAATTGCCTTTTTAGAACTATTGTTGCATCCTACTCCAACATCGTTTGTGACAACAGTCTATAGAAAGTTTTTTTTTCTTTTTCGTGATTATACACGCGTTGAGATTTATTTTGCCCAAAGAAGCGAAAGATAAACCTCATTAAAACTTTGACACATAGGACATTAATGATCTGTTCGAGGGAGTTCGTGGACATTGAGATTGATTTTGTGACGAGGACTTTATATGACAATGGCTGTCCGCCCATTGTTCTTAATTCCGTTATTCGCGACAAGATCTCTAATTTCAGAAAAGTTATGCCCTGTTACTGTGGCAAGATGTCATCTATATTTACGACTTCCTTGGATTGGAGTTAACTGTGAAAACTTATCATGGCAAATTTCTTCAAGTGTTCATAAGTTATTTTTTTTTGCTGAGGTTCGTGTCATATTCAAGACCAGGCCGATCCTCTCATCCAATCGGAAGGACGTTCTCCCTTCTCATGAAGTAAATTCTGCTATTCATAAATATAACTGTGGTTGCGGAGTCAGCTACATAGGGAAAACTATTCAATGACCGGATGCAAGAATTAAGCAACACGTACCAAGTAAAATCAGGAACCATACCCTAGATCAAAATGAATTCATCCATAATACCTACGGTTCCTCAATTTGTGAACGAACTTATTAAAAACAGAAAGTGTGCTGTTGAATTCAATGCTGATTTGTTTATTGTTTTATCTCATTCCCATTCAATCTTTCATTATAAGGTACTGGATTCTATTTATATCAGGTCTCGCAAATCTTCTCTGTAACAGCGTGATTGCTTGTTTGGTCTTGTTATGATTAGTCCCTAGTATTCCCCACACTTTTTTGTCCTCTCATCAATTAATCATATACAATTTTAAATTTGTTATATTTTACTTCGTCCACTCTGTCGTGTTCCCTATTTTATTTTTCATTATGCCTAGTAATATCAAATTGAATGTTTTAAAAGCAATACTCAAGTTCTGTATTGCTAAATATATCTATCTATCTCGCTGTCTCTCTTTCTCTCTTTCTCTCTTTCTCCTTCTCTCTCTCTCTCTCTCTCTCTCTATATATATATATATATATATATATATATATAGTTACGAAGAACTTGGTAATCCGTCTGGTAGTCCCAAGGAGGATGAAATCCTGAGAGCTCAATGTAAATTCAGAGATAATAATTTAAAGGAAAACAGACCACTTTAAGGCTCTATTGTAATAGTTTATTTCACCAGAGACCTTTTAAAGTACTCCGGATCTTCAGACATCACTTTCAAAAGGTGAAACGAAAAATTTTAAAGTCGTCTGTTTTTTCTTTTATATATATATATATATATATATATATATATATATATATATATATATATTCATTTAAAAAAAACATTTTCTTATATATTACTCGCTTACTTTTTACCAGATTTTGAATTATGTCACTTTGTGTCTTCTATATGTTTTGACTGACCTTTAAAAGCCTTGATAAACCAAATGTCATTCTTGCTTTTTGTATATAAACAGGTGCAGCAAAATAAATCCTACATTGCCTTGACAAAGTCCCTCCGTCAATGAATATCGAATATTTCCTTATAAGGAAACAGCTAATATCACCTTTACTATTACCATATACGTAAACATGATAATGCTTCATTTATAAATTAAGTACAATATTTTATTAATATTACAGTTCGATCTCTTTAAACCAGCACCTTTGGGACCAGGCCACTGTCGGACCACAGAAAGTGCAGAATGACAGAAATCAGCCCGAAAACACTGTATGTAAACATTATCTTTCCAGTTCATTTCACGTATATGTTACCGTGTTATGAACGGTAGACGAAGTTTGAAACAGGACTAACAATCACTAATGCTTCCAAACAAAGTTTATGGAAATGAAAGGCTAAAAAAAAATACTAAAAGAAAATATAATATACACTTAATATCCTGAATGCCTAAATATGCAGTTATGATTAATTTAAATATACGCTCTTAAATAGGGGCCGGAGGGATTCGTTAGTGATGTAAATTGACTTGGTTCATCAGTGAGTTTCGGGTCTTTCAATATCATATACCCCATCAACAAGTTGACCCAATCAGAGGAGATCAATGCCTGATTCCCCCTCGCAATCAAACGCTAGCAGAGACTCTGGCCTTTTTTTAATAAATTGGATGGAAATAGACCCCGTTTTCTGCGCCCCCAATTGGATGTTTGTGACAGCCTATTCACTGCGCCAGCGGACATTTACATGGTTCAAGTGGTGGGCTTCTTTTCTTTTTTTTTCTTTTGTTCGGTGGATAGCAGCTTCAGTGGATAATTGAGGAGGTAATTTAACGTTCTTAAACTTAGCTCTTTATGTTATTTCACAAGTAAGGTTTGGTACCTTACTCTCAAAATTTTACAGTTTTCATTTGTTAATTTCCATTATAAAATTCCATAACTTAAAACTACTTCTAAACATTATATCATTTGAATGATTATTGAAGTCAACTATTAGTAGTTGCGGGGGGGGGAGAGAAAAAGCTAAACTCCCCCCTACTATCACATTGTTATAGATATCGTTTAACCTGATTATTAACATTATTACAGGTCAGTTACCGTTTTAAAGGACGTATTCTCAAGTTTTCATATAATTATTTGGTTTCCATAAACATACCGCGTCTTCTTAAGTATACACAAATAATGCAAAGAATAAAATACAAAACAATGTTCATTAAAATAGACTAACTAAATACTCTACAAATTATGAAGTCGGTTAAAATACAGTAAACTACGAAATACTCTTGTAAATAGGATAAATTACGAAAGGAATCGGGAACGGTCTGCCTTACAATATATTTCATGTTTATAAGCGTTAAAAGAAAAATAATAGTAATAATTAAATATGAATGAAAGACAAAACGTTTTATGGTATATATGGAGCTCAGATAGGATGTATAAGAAATGAGTAAGACCTTGTCACCAAAACATTGCTGCTGTCAGAATCTGCTGGAAATTGTAAACAATGTGTGGCGTAGTTGTTGTCGCCGTAAAAATGCATTGGTATATATTGCCACAGTACGACTCTCGTTCGTACAGTGTTATCTCCCACATGACCAAACTAGTAGCTTAGATGTGGCGCAAAGCCGAAAATACGGGGCACCCTGTGAGGATTGATCTCACTAGTCAGTCGTAATTGTTCTAGGATGTCAAGTGCGCTAACCAGTACACTACGATAAGGTGTTCCCATATGAACAAACCGGAATAGATTTCTGAAATTTAGTGTAATTATGTCTGATGTGATAAATTCTTTCTGCATATGTATATGCTAAATTAGAACCATCTCTCCTCCCTCCCTCCCTCTCTCTCTCTCTCTCTCTCTCTCTCTCTCTCACTCCCTTTCTCACTCTCTCTAAATGGTGGCTGATTCATAAAAAAAGTGCCGAACCTTTGGAGTTGCCGGATTAAACATTTAGGACAAATGACAAAATTTAAGATAGAACCATTCTAACAATATACCACAAAGAAATATATATGGCTGATATAAGATTTATTCTTATCGTAGATGGTAGCCATTTCAAAATATGACTTTTTGTAGCCGCAATAAATTGCGAACATGCACGTTTTCACTTAAAGGAAGCAATCTGGTTGCAAACCTACCAATAAGGTGCTCTGGGGCTATTATTAAAGAAAAACATTTCTGGGAATAACCGCGGATAACATAACACTTGTAAACGATACTGCGAATAAATTTAACCGCTCGTCTTTGCATAAAACTAGATTCAAATATTGCACATTAGATTTGTGTGTGTGTCTTCCTGCAGAATGAACTGTGTTCTATTCATCGTACAAACAGGGGAATGACGGTAGTGCTGATAATTATTAGAATAAAGCAAAAAGATTATAAAGAAATTGAAATTAATTAAAGTTAATATTTGAGACAGTGAAAATCAAATCAGAATTGAAAGAGTAAATGAGGAGGAAAACTTGCCCGAAGATAACAATTTACTAGGGGGAAAAAAGCAGGCTACTGTACTTACCCAATACATTATAAACATGCTTTTCCCATGGGAATGTCGCCAATCCCTTTAAAGACCATGATGCTAGGTAGACATTCAGGTGGGTACTTCCGTTCACGTTAAGGGCTGTCTTGTATTCGTCCATACTTAGGTAAATTCTAAAAGAAAAGAAATTACATATGTGTGAAAATGCGTTGATATATATTGCCACAGTACGACTCTCATTCGTACAGTGTTATCTCCCACATGACCAAACTAGTAGCTTACATGTGGCGCAAAGCTGAAAATACGGGGCACCCTGTGAGGATTGAACTCACTACTCAGTTCGTAATTGTTCTAGGATGTCAAGCGCGCTAACCAGTACACTACGATAAGGTGTTCCCACACGAACAAATAGGAAAAGAGTTCTGAAGTTTAGTGTAATTATGTCTGATGTGATAAATTCTTTCTGCATATGTATATGCTAAATTCGAACCACCTCTCCCTCCCTCCCTCCCTCCCTCCCCCTCTCTCTCTTTCTCTCTCTCTCTCTCTTTCTCACTCCCTTTCTCACTCTCTCTAAATGTAAGGTGTCGCTTATAGAGTGTTGGTTTGTTTTGTTTTTTTTTTTTTATGGTGGCTAGATCCGTTTATTTTTATATAAAAATATTTTAACAATGTTTAAAAAGAAAAAAAACAACCCAGTAATGCATCCCTTTATGTTTAGTATAATTAAAAATCTCATTTTTAAATGCAATATATATATTTTAAAATAAAAACCGTGTAATATCTGAATTGTGTTAACCAGATATTTTTATTAAAAATTAAATTATGTAACGGTCAGTCTCTACCCAGCACCTGAAGATTGCGTTTTGCATGAAACTCCGAGTTGTGCTACCGGTGAGATATAGTAGGTATATTTATTTATCTGGTGCCCCTGATGTTCATTTCTAAGTTCTCGAAAAAATCCAAAGACAGATATGAAATGTGATAGGTCACATCTCGACTTTCTCATAGATGTGATCTGGCTTTCCTCTGTCTTTTCTACAAATATTTTTATGGCATCTGCTCTGACGAACTATTTTCACTGGTGCCCTGACTGCATGAATTTAAGAGTGTTACTAGTGTAACATCTAGGTCCCAAACTTTTACTGTTGAAATATTTAAATGTAACCACCTCTGCTACTCCAACAGCTTTCTCTCTCGCACTTCCCGATAGTGGAATTCCCTTCATCTTACTTGCTTCCCTGATAACTATAATCTTCAAAAATTTAAATGTAATGTCAATCGCCATCTTCTGGTGCCTTGATCTTAACCCCGCCCCAATATTGTTTGATAATCTCAATAACATTATCATTGAAAGACGAAAGGAAATCACCATATTGATACATGTTTAAATCCAATCTAAGCTTTCGGCTTACATAAGCCATTATCAAAGATGACAATTACTTTTCAATATATCAACCAATACACGGACAAAACAATAATGATAGTCTGTTTTTGTTGCATGAAAAATTTCAAAGCAACGACTAACTCATGTATACGAGACGCGGAAGCGAAAATTGCGTCGCAGCTCGTGACGACACACATGACCACGCGAGAGTGAAAACGAGAAGTATTAAGTATGGGAAGCTGTTGGTATAATCCAATGGCTTCTGTTATCAATTATAGGCATTTAAGAATATTTGTGGAGATTTTGTTGTTTACATGTTTCAATATGGTGATTTCCTTTCGTCTTTCAATGATAATGTTATTGCTTTATCAGACAATATGAAAGGAACTTACTTCAAATAAATAGACAAAACTTGTCTATATTATTTAATGAAACACACACACACACATATATATATATATATATATATATATATATATATATATATATATATATATATATATATATATATATATTCTAAAGAAATAATGGATTTTTATTTATTAGTCCGATAGATTTTATCACTTTAAACGTTATTTTTATTGGATACTCATATTTGAAGTGTACTTAGCTGTGGCACAAGGCTGAAAATATGGAGCATCCAATGAAGATCAAACACACTATTCACTCGTAATTGCGCATGCGTGACAAACTTGCTAATCATTTCATCACGTCGAGGTGCCCATGTTGTCGAACGATTTAGATGTGTAAAGATATAATTCTTTAAACAAAAAGAAAAAAAGAATTATATTGTGATTTATATACTTTTATAATTTATCTAATAGATTTCAATTTCTTAAACGAGCTTCCCGGTGTACTTTATTATTTGTCGCAAGAATAAATATATTCTCAGGATCAAAATTACCCACCTACATGTTACGTACTCAAACATCATTAAAATATTACTCATGTCCAAGAAAGGCTTACATTTGGGCACAAAGAAACTAGTATAATTAAAAAGTTGAAAGAAAAGGACTTGCAAAATGTCCGTATCTCAGTCTGTTAAAAAAAACTATTCTTTTCTTTTTATTTGCCATGTCCATTCACATCCTTAGAGGATCATAGCTCTCCACCTCCTTCTATCCCTTGCAGCTCTCAACAAGTTCAATCCCTCTGCTTCCTCCCCCAGACCATGTTCTGTCATCCACTTGGTTAAGTCCGCCAGGTATGCCATGTGTTGGTTTCTCTTGTCCCTCTTTCCCTCTATTCGACCCGTGAGTATCAGTCTCTCCAAGCCCTCCTTTTTCCTTACATGTCCCAGAAATTTCAGCTGCGTATTCCTGATGATAAGTATACGCCTTCTCCTTGTCTCCATCCTTTCCAAGACCTCATCGTTGCTCACACGCTCGGTCCATGATATCCTTAGCATCCTTCTGTAGAACCACATCTCTGTTACTTCGAATCTCTTCTTCATCTTTGAGGAAATCGTCCAACATTCGCTGCCGTAAAGAAGGACAGATGTCACGTAACATCTCAGTATTCTTTTCTTTGTTACCAAAGAAATCATTCTGTCTTGCAAAACTCTGCCCAGCTTTTGGATAATGAAACCATTTTCTTTAATGGACACTAAGTATTAGGTTGTTCGGAAAATAACGTTTCAAACAAATCTGATTTTAGAATCAACATTTATTCCTGATTTAATGTATTTAAACAGTGTTTAGCTGAGCAAGTTGATCGCTTGTTTTGTATTCTACGACATATATACTAATCTGTCGAAATAGGTACCCTGAACATCTACACATTTCTGCCATCGAGTTGCAGGGTTATTCATTCCCTTATGATAAAACTCTAAAGGTTTGGGCGCCAAGAGATTTGTGAGTAAAGTTTCTCTAACTTCTTTGTAACGGAATGACTTTTCGCTTAAAATGAATGTTTCAAAATGCTTAAAAAATTGTAGTCAGTGGGCGAGAGGTCAGGGAAATATAGTGGGTGTGGCAAATCTCAAATCGTGGAGATTTTGCAGTGTCATCCTGACAACATGTGGTCGCTCGTTGTCATGAAGCAGAATGGACCAGTTCCGGTTGCAACTTATTTAACTGAAAGTGCATTTCACCCAGTTACTGATCGGCAATGATGCTCTGGTTAGATACCGGAAGGCTGTAATGAATAACGCTTAATGGTAGACGACCAACATTCACTATGATCTTCTGTTTTCCTTTGGAAAATGTTTGGGTGTTTAGTCATGACCAAGCCATTGAACCGATCGTTTCCGATTGTCATAAAGGATCGATTTCTCATTCCAAGTCACTATTCGATAAAGAAATTCATCATTCGTCTTTCATGAATACAGCATAGAACACGCTTCAAAACGTGGAACTCGTTGACTTTCATTGAGTTCATATGAAACCCATTTATCGAATTTTTCACCTTGCCAACTTTCATGAGATGGTCCGATATTGTTGACATGCTAACACCCATTATCAGAGACATTTATCTGACAATTTTACGTTGTTTTTGTTCGACCATTTATTTCAGATTTTGATTGACAATTGCAGATGGACTTCCTCTGCCACCTTTTTAATTATCGAGACTCTTATCGCCCCCTTGCAGAATTTCAGAAACCAGCGCCGTACTGTCCGATCACAAGTAGATCCTACACCCCACGCTCTGTTAATGTTGGCAGCAGTTTGAGAAGCATTATTACCAAACTTGAACTTATAGTAAACACATTTCTTCTTTGTTTTTTTTCAAGAAGAGTAGAAAATGTTTTAAATTAAAATTTTAAAAAGATTGATATGAAATTAAGAAAGTAGAGAATTTAATCATTAGGTATTTATAGTATATTTTTGCGAATCTAACCTGATAATATATAACAATACAAAAGCTTTATCCTAAAATTAGATATTATTTTACGAACAACCTAATGCAGGGTGTTGCAGCAAAATCCGACACTTGACAAAAAGAAAACGAAATAGGCAATAAAAAAAAATTGTATATGCCGATATCCGGCAGTTTGACAACTAACGGTTTTCTCTCAACCCTTTTCTAGGATGGAAAATGAGTGCAGAGCAGCGGTAGTATATTCTTTTCGCGCCGGGAAGAAACCTGTGAAAGTGATGGCCTGGTTTTGGTTCAAGAGGACTATGGTCATGGACATTTGAATGAAGTGGAAGGTGTGTGAAGGACAAGGACGAGTTTGCTACCAAACGAAAGGCCCACAACATTAGAGTTCGTCGCCGCTGTCAAGGGGACAGTCGACAATGATGGAAGCCAGAGCTACGCAAAGATAATCGCAGACATAGGGTGTTACAAGTCAACGATCTGCCGAACGATCAAGAAGGACATTGGTTACTCCTCCTCCCGCAAGTATCACCGCATGCTCATCACGTATGACTCCAAGGAGTCGAGGAAGGTCAAGTCGGCGTCTTTGCTGAACGGGCTCAAGCACGGTTCGACCTGGATGCTGAGGTTCTTCTCTTATGAAAAGAATTTCATCCAGGACCAGACAAGCAACAGGCTGAACGACAGGTAGATCTGCAAAGACATCGAGGAGGTTCACATTGTGAACTTCATAAGTTTCCCTCCTCCGTCATGGTCCTTGGCATCATCTCCAGCGAGGGGGACGTCATGCCTCCGTTCTTCTTTCAAAGGGGCCTGAGAGCCACCGCTGAGATCTACCAGGAGATGCCGTGAAGCGTGTATTCACATATATATATATATATATATATATATATATATATATATATATAGATATATAGATATAGATATATAGATATATTTATATATATTTAAAGAAAGGAATGGATT